AGAAAGTTTACCTGGTATACACGTCTCACTTTCAATTTAACTTGCTGACATAGTTCCTGTCTTTATTTCTAATGTCTGAAACAGTTCTCTGTGGCCCATTGGTGTTACTTATTTCATTCTTATCTATCCCTACTTGCTCAGTCACCTTACCTGTGAATGGTTTGGTATTATAACCTTGCTGTAACAAATTCTTTGATGACATGATGTTGGAGCAAGTCCAGAGGAGGCCATTAAGATGATCAGAAGGCTGTAGCATCTCTCCTATGAATACAGACTGAGGGAGTTGTGCTTGTTCAGTCTGGAGAAGCTCTGGGGAGACCTTATAGAAGCCTTCAAGACCAACCTAAGAGTGGCCTACAAGAAAGCTGGAGAGGGGCTTTTTACAAGGGTGTGTAGTGACAGGAAAAGGGGGAATTGCTTTAAGATAACAGAGGGATGTTTAGATTAGATATTAGAAAGAAATTCTTCAGTGTGAGGGTGGTGAGACACTGGAAGAGTTGCCCAGAGAAGGTGTGGATGCCTCATCCCTGGAAGTGTTCAAGGCCAGTGGAAGGTGTCCTTGCCCATGGCAGGGGGTCTGAAGCTAGATGATCTTTAAGGTCCTTTCCAACCTATGATGATAGCACTTGTCTGTCATCTTCACTGCACCTTCTTGTTTAAGGGTAGTGCTGGATGATTTTCAACAGCATAACCCATGTCAAGAATCTTGCACCTATTGCTGGTCTTTTTTTTTGCACAGTTACTCGGGAGCAGGGCAGTGTCTCCCTCCAGCCGGCATGCCTCAGAGGTTCACCAATTCCTTGTTCTTCAATTTAATGCAACCTACTCCTGGCTGTCTGCACTCAAATCATGCTGAGCAGATCGCTGCTCTCTCCATCTTGCCTATGACTCAAGCTGCTTTTCCAGCTGGCCTCTCTGTAGGTATGTTCTGGAAACGTATCTGTAGTAAGTTTGTTGTTCCAGGCTTTCTCTTCAAGTTTCTAACTTCTGGCCAAGACAGTTTGATTAGGATCAGACAGCAGGGGTCCACTAAGTGGTCCAAGGCTCAGAATAGCTGCCAGCATGCTCCTTCCTCCACCTGAGAAGTATCTTCTGACAGGTTGAGTTGTCAGCTCATCTAAAGGCTCCAGTCCTCATCTCCATTTCTTGATCTGAGAAAGCAGTTTTGCTTGGCCTGTATACTTATATCTCCTAGACCCCTGTCACTGTCAAGGTCAGAAATCCCCCTGGTGCTGTGCATGTGAAGAGTGAGGAGGGTTGAGGAATCTTGCACTGCAGTACAGTGTAAGTCCCATACACTCTTTTCTCTTACAGTAAAAGGAAGAAGTAGCAAAGAATGTGCAAAGCTAAGGAGAAGCGGGCACTCAGTCAACTTCTTTGTTGTGTGAGGATGGTACAAACTTTGTTTTGTCTCTTGTTTTTACATTAGCAATTCAGGTCTTGTCTACCCTGTTTGTTTTTTCTTCAGTGGAGAACTAATAGTATTATGACAGTGCAAGTAAAAGCTGACGAATTTAGAGTAGAATTGCTTTTCCTACAAAGTGTTTTAAGCAGTCTGTATTTAGCTAACGTTTATCTAACTCCTCTCCTAACCAACAGTTGGAAGAGAAAATCTTTGCAGTTCAACACCTCCTCCTCTCTCCCTTTCACTAGAAGCTGCAAAACCTCCCACTCCACTTCTCCAGATCTTCCGAGGAGACCTCTGCCAAAAAACAACTTCATGTTTGATTTTATATTTTTTTTCTTTTTGAGTAAGAAAAAGCAGAAAACAAAACACATCCAGCCTCTCGTACACAAAGAATCAGAACAGGGCATGAGTCCAATTTGTTTCCCTTCTCATATTTCCTGAACATGTACTCTCCTAGAGGCAATCAAAGCACTCTGCTACATGCTCTACCCACCAGCCTCGCTATGGCTCTCTGACAGGAGCAGTATCAAGGCTACCTCTAATGTGACCCTGTTCTTCAGGGTGGGCACCAAAGCAGGGACTTTCGCAGGCTCCTGAGTGTCTGGCAGCAAACAAGATCCTGTCTTTGACAGCTTCAGATGAACTCTTCAGTGATGCCACCAGCCCACAGTACAGATTCTGTTTCTCCCTCGTAGTCATTGTCTCTGTAGCCATTAACCATTCCTCATACAGTTTGTCAGTGTGGATGCTTTTTTCCAATTCAGACCATGGCTGCGATTCCCAAGGGCTTGCCCAGGAGATGGCAGGCAGAGATCATCTGACCCACAGTCACTTGCCAGCACTGGGAAAGGCTGTACTGGGGTGAAATGAGCTGTGCTCAGTCCTTAAGAACTGGCCTCCTTGTTCCACTGAGGACAGAGCCTGGATGAAAGAAATGAAAGAGGCTTCCAGTTCAGGCTCCCAGCCAGCCCATTGGTGAGGTCTCAGCTGGGACAATTGAACAAGTCCAGTGCAATTAGATTCTGGCTGGTGTGGGATGATGATAGTGCCACTGAGCCGTCTGCAGGGCAATAGCCTGCACATGCTAGGCCAGAGCTTCTATCAGGAAGCTGGAATACTACCATTTTTGAGAGCCTATTTTGTTTCTCTTTCCTATCTAGAAACTCCTTTCCTTTAAACCTGCTGATCAGTTGGGAAACCTCACTGCAGGCTCCTAACCACCAGCAGCAGCCAGGCTTGCTTTCTTCCTACCATGCATGAGAAGTTAAATCCTGTTCCTTCTGAAATGTAGTCAGTTCCAAGGTAGCAGAGAAAAGGCCTCTAAAACCTCTTTTTTTCTACAAGTTTCTTTACTTACAAGATCACACGCTCTGGGAAGGCTGTTGCCTCTTTCCAACCTTTACCAACCATAGGTAAGCAGCAGCTCTGGCATCTCATTCATGCTGCACAACTGGTTCCTGCTCAGCTGAAGGTACAGGCTGATTTGCTTAGGAGGTGGGCTCATCTCTTTCTCATTTGCAGTCTCTAGACATCCTGAAGGATGATATAGGAGGCTTTCTTGCATAAGAACTCTCTCAAGTGGCTTTCTAATCCTCTTATCCTGCTACTGCTCCCTTACACGGCCACTGCAACCATAGTTTGACTGATCAAGAAATACCAATGCTTCCAGTTACCTCTTAACAAAGTGGTGTGAATGGATCAAATTCCCATGAGAGAGCCTCATCAGGTACTGCAAAGTCAAATTAAAGTTTCAACATGCAGTAAGCAAAGGAATGCAGAGTGCAAATGTGCACCTCCTAGTTGAGCACACATCCAATTTACAGTGCTTTTACTGCTAGGAATCAAATGTTAGCATCTCCTGCTCCTTCCCTTTACCCTCTAAAACCTTTTGGAATCTCATGGTCCCCCTATGTGAAACCTTCTTCCCGTCTGACTTCTTTTGCAACCTTTCCATGAGAAATAGTGCAACCTCCCAAGCATCCCACGTATCCCATACATGTCCCAGGACAACCCAGATGCCACTCTAGGGCTTGCAACCTAACCACTGAAATCCTAATAGAAATTTCAGTACATGAGAAAGCATGGGCAAAAGATCTTCCAGTCACTGACAGCTACACCAGTGGTAGAACCCTTCTTCCCCATCACAAAGGGCGTACAAAGAACTCCCTCCAGAAATGCTTTCTCTAAAGCTCCAGCTTGCAGGTTGGAGGTGGTGACTGCTGCCTTTCTGAGTTTACTATTCACTGGAAATCATGTCAGCAGCCACATTAGGAGGATAGTTCTGAAGCTTTGCCTTGTCCTATTGGACTTTCTGACTAGCTTGCAAAGAAAATCTTGAGAGCTTGCAGATGTAGACACTGAGACAGTGGTAACTCATGAATAGGACTTTGATGCTGAGTGCAACCTTTTGGTGTATTGTCAGCACAGCCAAATGGAGGCAAGGAGCTGGGACCAGGCTTATTGCACAGGATGGGGTTTCAGGGAGATCATTTCTGAAGGCTGCTGGAGATGCAGAGGGGAAGTTGATGATGAACAGTAAGAAGGTGCATGCTGTACTGATGACTGAGAGCTAAGCCAATTCCCTGGTGCATAAGGCAGACAGTGAGTGGGAGTGGTGAGATTGTGTTTCCTCTGTGTTCAGTGCTGGTGCAGATGCAGTTTGAATGTTGCACCCAGTCCCTGTGTGCCTGGGTTTTCTGGTATGTCCTACCTGCCATGGAGGTTAGAGTGGGGAACAGGGAAAAGATAGGAGCCTTGTGTATGGCCTGGGATCATCCTGCCTAATATTAGGCACCAAACTACTGGTTCAAAGGTATGAACAGGGTTGCCTTGTATAGCTGGTGAAGTTGGAGCAGTTGGTCCCACCTGCTCACCCCTGAGGGGTTCAGGTCAGGCATGGCTCTGGCAGGAACACCCTGCTCAGTGCCTAAGCCAAGGCAGCTGGAGCACTTAAGATAAGACAGCATCACACTGCACATACACCTTCAGTGGGAGCAGGCTGCTTGATGGAGGAGGTGACAGGTGAGTATGTGGCTACACCCATCCACTCACAATTGCGCTGCCCATGGTGTACTGTGAATTGAATTGCCATTAACCTCTGCACTGTTAACTGCCACTCATCTGTCTTAATTACAGGCAGAAGAGCTAGATAATGGTGCCTTACAGAGGGGGAAGCGATGCACATAGTGGCTACAGAGTATAGAGCTGACATGCACTGGATGTAGCCTGAAACCAGAATGAAAATATGATTCCCTTCTGAAATAAAATCAAGTCCTCTAAAGACAGAGGGGCTCGCAAAGCTGTGAGACAAGCCAGCTCGATGAATACCAGGTGATATCCTGGTTACAGCTTTTCCTTGCCAACAGTGTCTTAAATGTGGATTTGTCACATAGCTATCTAGTTTTGATGGCAAGTTCTGTCCTGGTCTGAAGGAGAAACTTCATCAAGAACTTCAGTAGCCACAACCAGCCGTGAAGGTTTTTCAGGGAAGTCAGTGTTTCATGTGAACACTGATTGTCCTGTAAGGTTTTTGATATTTTTTTTTTTAGTTGTTTTTTGAATTGGTAACTCAGATTCTCCCCTGTCCCTCCTGTAGGGCAATGTACTGCAAAGACTGCGTGATATGGAGAGAGATGGAGGGAAACTTCTGCCTGGCCATGTGGTTCTTCACCTGCTGACTTCCTCTTTTCAAGAAAAACCAGTAATTTTCAAACTAAAAATTCCATTTAGACATTTTTTTTATTATTTTTTCCCAGAAATGCTGGTTTAGGGTTTTTCTAAGTACTTTTTTCAGCTGGAACTGTCAACTTGAACTCAGCACGCTTTTGTTTGGAGCCGCACAATATGTCAAACTGGCAGTTCACAGAATAATGTTTTTCTGACCTTCACTGACTAAAGAGCCCACACCACAGAGGCTATCAAGGCAGGTGAACAGCCCTGTCCATAGGATGATCAGGATGCAAGTGCAGCAAAGCACAGCATGCTGCCAGGACAGTGGGGTGAGAGTGGGTGCCTCCTGGGCTCATGTTCATCACCTTGATGAGTGACCTTCAAGGGAGGGCAAGGATGGAGCTGGCAAAGCTCTGCTCCTACGTTAGCAAGGGACCAAATAAGACTCAGATGAAATTCAGTGTTGACAGAGGCTAAATAATGGCTCTACAGAAAATTAATTTGAAGTGCTTATACTTTATTGGCTTTCCCAATTAACTGTGACAGCCTGAGGAGAAAACAAGCCAGCACATTGCTGTGGATAGCCAGCTCCCTGAGCAGTAGTGAGGCAGGTGCAAAGGGCAGGGCATTGGGCTGCCAAGGAGATGTGGAAAATTAAGCTGAAAAAACACCACACTGCAGGACTTGTAATAGCTGCAGTCAAGCAGGACTTTGATCTCTATCCACAGGCTGGTAGGGGTGACAGATGTGCTGAGCACCTCTTTCTCTTCTGAGATCCTGGCACAGCCAGAGGCTGTCATTTGTTGGCCAACATGACCAGCAAGCCTGGCCTTGCAAGTCAAGCCCAGGTCAGCAGGAGTCTCATCAAGGGGAGCAGTGAATGGCAGGGCTTTTCTTTGGGATTGTAATCGTAAGGTCAGAAGGATTAATTAGTCATAGCCTCTTGTGCTTGAGAAAGAAAGCAGAAGAAATACTGCTGTCCATCAGAGAGAGACCTGCTAATGGAGTGGAACTTTGGACAGCTGAAGCTGATAATCATATGGCGTTCTGGCATCCTTTCCACCTTCTTCATGACCTTTTAGCAGTCTGGTCATATCCTACATCTACTAGAGAAGGAGGGCAGCTCTGCCCAGCCAGGGAGCAAGCATGGGGGCAGACAGGGTGGCAGCAGCCTCCATTTAGAAAGCTACAAGCTACTATAGAAAATGACACCTCTGGCAAATGGGAGCAAGAAAACTGCTCTTTTTTGTTCTTCCACACTTGACAAAACTAAGCTTTGTACTCAGTCACTATAAATACACAGAACTGCACCTGGGACACATCTTAATTGGTTTCTCAATTTTTCCAGTGAAGAAATAACCCTAGGAAGTCCTAAGTATTAGCTAATAGTTCACTCCAAGACTATAATAATGCTGTCAAATAGCTTGCTTTCAGCTTTTACCTACAACTGGGTGTGCAGTTCCATGACTGTAATTCCTGCAGGAGCACTTCAACCTGGAGATAAATTGGGTTGTCTCAGGCTTTGATTCAGGCCAGGTTTCCCTCCAGGTTTGCCCACCTGTGAGCATTAGTGAAGGCAGATGATGTATCCAGAGGTGATTAAGGTCTATGCTAAGAGACTCCCCCATGTCCCTGTCTTGGAAGGCAAGTGTGAAAAGGGGTCAGGACGCAAAGCATCAGGGCAGGCAATGGGTGCGTGTTGCCAACCCGTACAGAGGAAGCAAGTCAGAGATAATTAACCTTACGTAATGAGGCTGAAAGGCAATGCACATAAAGCTGTTGAGGGGAAACAGTCCTTCCCTGGTACGCTGGCTGTGGAAGTCATTAGCTTAGTGCTATGGTGGCAAGTTCAAGAGCAGAGCAGGTAGGTGCTGCCATCATCCCTGTTGCAGGGGTCACGTTCAAATGAGATGATGTTCTAATCCATTTAAAAGCATTGCTGTTTATATTTTACTTTTGTCCTGAAAACTGGGGAGTGATACATAACCAGTATTCAATGCTAAAGGTTTCTATCCAAGTCGCTCTCACAAATGCATAACCTTTGAGATTCAATTGCAGTTGTGAGAAGGTGATTTCTTGGGATTTGTTGATAAGGTTAACAGTCAATAGTGATATTTGAATGCTAGACCTAAGAAGTGATCATGTGTGGCTGGATAAGCTCACCTCCCGGCATGTTGTTACGCCGCTGGGTGCTCGGCTCCATCCCTGTGGTGGTGAGCTGTGAGCCTGGAGGGGTTTCAGAGCAGTGCTCTCTTCCATGCTGACATTTCAACTGGGTGCAAATAACACAAAGTTTTCTGTTTTATGAGGAAGGTCATGTCCACACTCTTTCAGGCTATCTGCAGTTCCCAGCTGCTTTAGCAAAAGTAACAGCTGGGCATAGTGTTTTCCTCACATCTTGGGCTGTTAAAATAGCCATCTCCTGATGCCTGAAGGAAGCAGGACAGTGGGTTGGGGATTAATCCGTAGTGTTTGAGGGGTTTGTATTTTATATTTTACTTTACACTTTGTTTTATGCTTTATTTCAGCTTCTTCTGCAGTCTCCTGATGTTATGCACTTGCTTTCACAGGAATGTGACTGGGCTTTTAAAGCACGCGTGGCAGATGTGGAGTAGAGCTGTATGACTGAATGCAGCTTGTGCGCAGGCAAAGCTGCTTCCAAAAACTCCGGAGGTAAATCAGGCCTGCGAAATTGGAGATTTTGTGAAAAATTTGGCTGAGTTTGCAAACAGTATAGCTAGCTCTAAAAAGACTTGAGGGGGTTCTGGTCTTTAAAATAGCACAAGCAGATGGTGATAGGCTATATTTGAACTTCAGTTACATAATTTTGCTAAATATTTTTCTTCCCTCTGCAATTCAAAGTTATCTGTAATTCAGACTGTGCCGTCGCTCATGCTGCAAGGAGCCGGAGGAGAGGCCTCTGGGCCCTGGGGCAACGTGTGGGGCTTGCCGTGGAGGGTGAGGTGCCTACTGCAAAAGGTGCAGGTAGGGCTTCGTTAGCATGTTCAGTTAATGTTTTACTGTGTTTGGTGGTGAGGAAGCACCCTGCCATGACCCAACTGTAAGATGTGTCTGCAGGCAATGTCCCTAGGGTATTCTTCAGAACGGCCACGGTGTTAAAGATACCCAAACCTGTTTGTCTGAGCCTTGGCAAGGTGGGATTTGTTATTACCTTCAGGAGAGTGCCCACACCACACAGGCACACTGTTTGCCAACAGGATGCAGAGCCTTCTTCCTCCAGGCCTACAAACCTTCTTCAGTCTAGTGAATACGATCTGCATCTCTTTTCTGGCCAACACCTCACAAATGTGCCATTTTTCAAGCTTTCTGGCATGCTCAGAGCTTGTCTGTTTGGGGAAAGCCAGGGCTAGTTTTTGCTATAGCAGGTATCTGTTTTTATACTTGATCCATTTTAATCTAGGTTGAGTGTCCTTTATCTGTTTTAGCATACATGGATGAGTTGAGATATTTAGATGAGCTGAGATATGTAAGAATGGGGATTGCATTTGGATTGCAATTAGCAGCCTACTTGAATCTGACTTGCCTTTCAAGTATAGGTGTGGCCCAAAAGTCAGGCCAGGAGCTATGGAGCCAGGGGAGACCATTGCCCCAGAGGGAAGCCTTTGCTGGTGTGGGACTGAGCTGTGCTGACAGGGTTGAATCAGTGGTGTTTAGTGTCAGAAAGATAAATAGAGGATTTCATTCACAGTGATGGTGACAGAGAAGTCTTTCACCAGCTTCAGGGCTATGTCATTTTTATCAGAAGCCAATTTTTTTTCTCTGTTTTTAGATGAGGTAGAGATTACTGCTGAGCCCATGACCTCATCACAGTGATTTACTGAAGCAACTATAGGTAGAGCACAGCTGTATGCTCCTGGTCCGAAAGCCCATTTCCCGGTCCATCACCTGGGTGTTCCTGGGCAGTGACAAATCTGTATCAGACCTGTCCTGAAGTATGAGAGAGTGGAGATCTGTGCTGGCCCTGCACCTATGAATTGGGAATGCGACCCCTCCAGCACAGACACGTTCACAGGTTTGGGCTCCTCTTGGTAGATGACTTTTCTATTTTTAGCAGGGGGAGGATCTCTTTTTTCCCCTGGTGGTTTTAAACCTCTAAGTGAGAAAACTGCTTATTTTCCATCTGTGAGAGGCAGCTACCTCTGGTGTGGTGACTATTAGTGTGTGGCAGCAGCAGTCAACGTCTGTCTCTTAGACTGAACTCGGTCCATTTACTTTCCCCTCCCATGTGCGACAGTCAGTCCGTCTTTCATGAAGAACAATGGCCAGAAAGCATCAAAGACTTGCAGCCCTGAGAAAGGACAAGGCAGAGGCAAAGCCATGATCAATATTAATAGTGGCTCCAGGGGGTTGCTGGGTCTCATTAGAGAAAACAGATTGCTGATAATGTTCTTACCCTTACGCTAATGTCTGATCTTTCATTCCTCCATCAGCAACACCTCCTACCACATCTGAGCTCAGTGTCCTGAAGAAGAGTGTGCTTAGCTTAAAGGTGAGGTCAAGGTAATTTCAAGATGTGCTAAAAGAAAAAGCAACGGCAGGCTGGCAGCCAGGAAAGGAAAAATTGGCCCCATTGTTAAAGGAAGAAAAGAACATCAGAAGGCTTTTTAAAATGTCAAGAGTGGAGTATTGCTGTGTGCTCCTTTGCTTACTGAGTAGAGTTTGAGGGAGATTTGCCTTAAATATACCTTCAATATTAATATACAGAAACATGTTTTTTCGTGAACTTGAAACATTAGCTAGAATAGTCTTTGGATAAAAAGGCAGTCATTATTTCTTCGAGCATGCTTTCTACTGCCGAGCAAATGTTCCAGTGTGGCAGGATGGTGGCTTTAAAAATAGCTGCTCACTCCAGAGCCTCCCAGTGTGGCTGGGAGGTAAATTAAATGTTTCACTGTGCGCAGTCATTGATGTGGTCCAAGTGCTGCAGCCAGCAAGCCCTCATTTCACTGAAACCAGTGGAAGCACAAGGCAGTAGGAAAAGCTTGCAGAAAGAGAGGGTTTGGCCATCTTCGGAAAGCTCCAAACCTTTCAGGAGGTATTTTAAAAAATCATCACTTGCTGGACTGTTATGACACCAGTAATAAAAATCACAGGCAACTGGGTAGAAGGGCACTGACAAAGTGTTATCTTGGGTGATATACCTGTGCTATTTCTCAAGGTACTTGTCCAGTCTCTTCAAGAAAAGTTGACTCAGCAACTGTAGTGCTTTGCTGCTCCCACTGACCCAAAGCTCTGCTGGGTTTCATCTGAATCTACCTCACTGTAACATGCACACATAACTTTAGTCCTACCCACAGTAGGAAAGGGGGAAAAATATATTTCTGCTTTTCTTTATTTCCTTTGAATTCATTCTCTCTCCTTCAGGCAGAACAGACCCACTTCTGACCTTCCTACGCAAGTTCTGTTTCTGTGCCCTTGCTCACCCAGCTTTTGTCTCCTCTAAACTCCCTCTGGAAAGCTCAAGACCCTCTTAAATTGACTCAAAACTGAAGGCAGTAACTCAAGTTAAAATCATGCCAGTGTTGCACAGACTAGAATTATGTGTGTGTTATCAGCAGCAAACCTGTTTGTATGTCACAGTAAGGTATTTGACTTCTGGCAACAGCAATGTTGATTTGCAGTCAAGTTGTGACCTACTAAAACCTTCAGATCCTTTCCTACCCATCTGACACCAAACTATTTTTTTATCTCTTACAAACATGAAGGCCTGTTCTTCCCTACAGGTGGGACTTTGAATTTGTTCTCATTTAATTTCTATCCTACCTTTTTTTCAGAATATATATTCACTTGTGATCCAGCACAGAAAAGCCTGTCCCATGCTGAATATGCTTATAAATGTGTAAGCATCTTTTCTATCCCATTATTAACATTAGTGCTGAAGATGCTGTAGGATGGAGGCCCTTGTAAATATGTCCTTTGGGCTGTAAATAACTCTAGTCTCACTGTGAGTACAGTTGAATATAGTCACTGAGATCTATTGTATTCCTAAATTATAGCTGTAGTTACTGCAGACTGTTCCCCAGTGTGGGGGTCTCCTGGACTCCAGCACCACTGACCTGGCAGTCAGTGTGCCTGCTATGCTGGCCAGCTCTCCTCTGGGCACAGCAGCAGCCCAGCTCCCCCTGTACCCACCCCTTCCCCGGGCGCAGCGCTCCAGCATTATGTTGTTCTTCCTGGACTCAACACACACATTTTTCTCCCAATGGGAATACACTCTGACGAGAGGGAAGGATGTCATGGGAAGGTTTCATTTTTGGCAAAAGAGCAATTTCATGAGAAATTTCAGGAAATGTGAAAATACTGATTTTTTTCTTTTTTTCTTTTTTTTTTTTTTTTGTCTCCACTTGACAATTTTCAAAATTGTTTTTTTTCCCTTTCAGTCTGGTTTTTCTTTTCCACTCCCAGCTCTCATCACCACCTCCCCTCAGCTTTTCCCTCCATCTGCCTGCCAGGGGAAGTACAATATTCACATATTCTTTCCAAATATTTCTTTTTCCACTGTCTAACCTTTCAGAACTTCAATTTGTAGAAGTTAGAGAATGGAAAAAAAACCCCAGAGCTGTGAAACCAAAAATGCTGATTTTTCTAGGACATATGTGGAGCCATTCTTGTGCAGGGACACAAGTAGGACGGTTCAAGTTAAGAAGAAAATAACGATGTCACTTGGTGACCAAGAGAAAGCAACAGAGAAGGAGGGAAAGCGGTGCAAAAGTAAAATGCATTTAATGGTGAGGGAGGGGGAAAGTTGGGTTATGCTCTGACATGGCAATGCATAAACACATTCACAAGTTGCAAAGGGTTGATATTCACCCCTTTCTTTGCCCTGACCAGGTTCCTCTGATGGGCTGTTATCTCCTCAGTCTGGTTCCGCTCCCCATGGGGATGCCTGTGATGGAGTGACAGGTCTCAGGCATACCGTCCCTTTCTCTCCCATCTCTACAGGACTAAATACATCATTTTCATACCATAGAAGCACCAAGGGTTCCCAATGATCACACCACAATATAAAAGCCTTTCTGGCTTTTTTTTTTTTTTAATGTTTCATGTGAAGAGTCAAGAAAGCCCTGATTACAAAAGTAAAAGAGATAAACTCTTCTATAAACTTAAACCCAGCACTATTACTTTTGGAGAGAGTGAAAAATGTGTTTCAAAACAGTACTGTTGACTGGAGTTCAGTTGGCCACCATGTCATCCCCAGAGCAACGAGGCTGCTAACCTCATCCACTAGATAACCCCACTCCCTGCCAAAGGTGGTAATTAGGGGCCGTGTTCTCAGCAGCTCTACAAAAATAGGCTTGTTTGACTGGAGGAACTGGGCAAATTGCAGCATACATGATAGCAGCGTGGCACAAATGCTGATTTTTCCACATGTGGATGCGTGTACCCAGAGACAGCAAGGGCTTATTCTGGGAAACCTGCTGGAAATGTGGCCAGAGCTGCCTGTGTACCATGCACTAAAGGTTGCAGCTGAACATACAGCCTATGTTCCCACAGAGAGCACACACCGCGCTGCCCAAGCTGCAAGGATGACTGTAGGAGTGGCAGGATTTCAGGGCCTCAACTTGAACCAGAAGTTAGACTTTGCTAAGTCCCAGTTTGCGCCAGTGCAGCACAGTGGTATGGACTGCACTGTGGTAAATCCTGATTTCTAAGGATGGTGTCTCTCAGGAGTATTTTTCTATGTCACCATGCTCTCTACTCTTCCAAAGGCTCTGATAAAAGCTATTTATGTGTCATTTGTCTTGTTTTTCCATTCTCGCTTGCTGTTTTGAGGGTATCTTATCTGGAAATATTTTCTGGTTAAATATTTAAAAAAGACCTGAACTGAGAAGCTACACTCTAAGCTTCCCTGAAATCTGGGTTGGTTTAGGTTCAGGCCTCTCTATGCTCTTCAAAAAAGCAAACCAAGGAGCTCCAATCTCCTGATGGATGAAAATGCATTCCTTGTTTTGTACTCTCTAAGTTTTCAGTTGTATTTCCCAACCACAATTTCTGCTAATACAGTGTCTTTTCACATTAACACCTTGCCATTGGTGGTACGTCCTGTTGAACCCTTTAGTGATCTTACACAGAGCTCTTCTGTGCAGTGGTAGCACAACAGTAAATGGCTCTGGAGTGCTCTGGTACTGGTCTGGCAGCTCTGTGCAGCACGGGAAGGCAGACCAGGTTTTATGATATTTGATCAAGCTGTTTGTTGAGACTGGCTACTGCATCTTATGAGCCTATTTGTACTTTCACCTTCAGCCTCTTCCCCAGTACCAAATAAAGAAATCAGGGAAAGTTTATTGCACTAAAGCTTTCGATTTCAAATTCACAGCAAAAATGTTCTATACAGAGACAGATAAAAGATGATAATAAATGATCCTACTTGGGCAAATCTTGCCGTTATCACACTGGTGTAAAGCACAATCCAGCCATTGGTTCTTGAGAGGCCTCTTCACTTTCTCACCACTTGAAATAACTGCCTAGCTGAAAAGTCTGCCTACCTTGGTTAGATTTGTTTGTCCTCCAGTGCTTTACAAAGTACTTGGTTAGGTCACTTTGGCAATCTCTCTAATATCCTGCCTTCACACAAGTCATGACTGAGGGGGCATCATCTTTGCTGATGATCTCTTTTGCCCCCAGTAGCCATGTCATGACTAAGTCCTCTGGATTTCTTCTCATGCTACATCTCTATAGATGCCATGCTAGGGTGAAAGCTTCTGCCCAGACACATGCTGTTTTCTGGTTTGCTCCTTACAAGCCCCCTTCTGCTTGATCTGGACAAACAGTCCATGGCCCTGTCCTGATCCATTTGTGATCATTGTTCTCACCACTGCTTTGAGTGCGACTTCTTTGTCATCCTTCCCATGCCTCCCTCTTCTCCATGCCACTGAACCTGACCAGCCTGGCATCTCTTTCAGGGTCCTTCGTAGCCCTCAAGGGAGGAAAGCTGGTGCCCTCTCTATTTCAAGGGATACATCGCTGGTGCTGACCTCTGTAGCCTTCTCAAAAAAAACGTGACCATGGATATCCATGCCTTATCCATCCTTACCCTCTCATTTGTGAGATAAATACCCATAAAGAGGCATCTTCCTCTTTTTCAGTTCTCCTGCAAACCTGGGCAGTAGGATCCAGAGCACTATAATAATGCTGTTACACTAGAATAGTACAGGAAATACGAAAAAAGTAAATTTTCAGGCAGTTTTAGAAGCAGGGAATGTTTCTGAGGTGGGTTGCCACAGTTTGGAAAGAACTATCTTTCAAGAAAAATGGCCTTTCTTTTCTTCTGCTGATTTCTGTCTGTCCTAAATATTTTCTCTATTTTCTGTGTGATTCTGTAAGAGCATTTTGCTGCTTTCTAGGCTGATGAAATGTACAGCTGGAAAATCTTACACAGATGGTCAGGTTAGTCTGTCCCAATGTCGAGTAAAATAATTCCAATTTTATCCCATTTTATCCATGTATTTAACTGCTCCTCTTTGCAAGATGTGTTATAAAGTCTTTCGTACCTTTTTCCCAGCATAGAATCATAGAATAGTTAGGGTTGGAAAGGATCTTAAGATCATCAAGTTCCAACCCCTCTGCCATGGCAGGGAAACCTCACACTAAACCATGCCACCCAAGGCTCTGCCCAACCCAGCCTTGAACACCACCAGGGATGGAGCATTCACAGCTTCCTTGGGCAACCTATTCCAGTGCCTCACTACCCTCACAGTAAAGAATTTCCTCCTTATATCCAATCTAAACTTCTCCTGTTTAAGTTTTAACCCATTACCCCTTGTCCTACCACTACAGTCCCTAATGAAGCGTCCATCCCCAGCATCCTTATAGACCCCCTTCAGATACTGGAAGGCTGCTATGAGGTCTCCATGCAGCCTTCTCTTCTCCAGGCTGAACAGCACCAACTTTCTCAGCCTATCTTCATATGGGAGATGCTCCAGTCCCTTGATCATCCTTGTGGCCCTCCTCTGGACTTGTTCCAACAGTTCCATGTCCTTTTTATGTTGAGGACACCAGAACTGCACAAAATACTCCAAGTGAGGTCTCACAAGAGCAGAGTAGAGAGGCAGGATCACCTCCTTCGACCTGCTGGTCATGCTCCTTTTGATGCAGCCCGGGATACAGTTGGCTTTCTGGGCTGCAAGCGCACACTGCTGGCTCATGTTCATTTTCTCATTGACCAGCACCCCCAAGTCCTTCTCCGCAGGGCTGCTCTGAATCTCTTCTCTGCCCAGCCTGTAGCTGTGCCGGGGATTGCTCCGACCCAGGTGTAGGACCTTGCACTTGTCATGGTTAAACTTCATGAGGTTGGCGTCAGCCCCCCTCACAAGCGTGTCAAGGTCCCTCTGGATGTCATCCATTCCCTCCAGCGTATCAACCGAACCACACAGCTTGGTGTCATTGGCAAACTTGCTGAGGGTGCACTCAATCCCACTGTCCATGTCACCAACAAAGATGTTGAACAAGACCGGTCCCAACACAGATCCCTGAGGGACACCACTTGTTACTGGTCTCCTGGCACATATGTGCTATATTTGCTATTGCCTAGTCAGGTGTGACTGCCCTGACTTCCCTGAGAAGCGTTACTGCTAGGACAGTGATTTCACATGCAAGAAGGATCCAGCAGAGAATATTTGTTCTGTCAATTCCTCCCACCACAGCTGCTGACTCTAACACAACAGCATCTTAGGTTTATGCTTTTACTTTAGGTATGATTTTACTTTAGGTATGATTACCTTTAGGTATGATTTCAGCATTAATGTTCTCACTCAAGCAAAACATTTTCTTAGTTTTGGGGAAATACCTCAGTTACCTTTAATCTACCGATCTCTCACCACATAACAGAACATCTCTATCCTTCTTCTTTAATTTATAAACCTGAACCTCTGAATTGTTGTTTCCTGTATAACGTTTGACTCAGTCTGATTCTTGGCATTTCTCACTGGTTTCTGACCCACAACCGTCAGAAATATCATCAGCGGTTGAACTTACTTTCCAGGCTGCTGCTGGGGTAGTACAGCCTCTCAAAGTGATACGACTCTTGCAGTGTGTCTCTTGGTTAGTATCATTGTAGCAGTATTTGTTCATGACTAGATGAGTTTGTAGTAAGGTCCTCACACAGTTCTGTAGATAGTAGACCATCATTCCCTAAAATGTAGCTCAACCACTTTTCACTCTGTTGCATATACTTTCTCTTTATTTCTCTGCAGCCTTTCACAGCATGACCAGAAGCCGTACCTTCACCTCCTGTAATTTCACTATTGCATGTCCAGGATACTGAGTTTCCTTCAGTGCCCCTGTCGCAGTCAGAACCCCCATTTCCCCATGTACCACAGGCAGGACATTTTAACTCTGTATTTGTGCATTTTTACCAAAAGACATCTTGCACACAAGGTGCCTGTTTCTGCCCACTCTCTATTAAGCTCAGCCTTGACTGTGACTGAACACCAGAAGAGGTTATTCAGGGGGCCTGTGGTGTCTCCATCGCTGGAGGTACTCAGAATCTGAGTAACCCTGAGCAACCTACTTTCAGTGAGCCTGCCCTGCACAGGGAGTTGGACAGATGGTCTCCAAAGGTCTCTGCCACCCTCACCCATCCTGCGAGTGGCTCCAGAAACCCCAGTGCCAGCTCTGTGTGGAAATATTCCCCTTTGTTGTGGCTATTGCCCTGCTGAAGGCATGCTGCCAACGCTGCAGCTGTCTCTGGCTTCTCAGACAGTGAAGATCACAAGCTCTGGGATCTTCTGATGTTAAACAACTTGAGTTTCCACCACCTTTTTTCAAGAGACTGATGGGTTTTATAAGGACTGTTAATACTGCACTTTTTTCGGAGTCATTGTAAATGCTGTGGTGACTTTATTTTCATATCCTTGTTGGAAGTGTTTAATTTTTCATTCCTAGGTAAGCAAGAAAAAACATGATTCCCCCAACTCCGTCTTCAGATTTGGTATAATCAAGTTAATTACAACCATTCTTTTTGATACTTGGTAATTTCAGCCTAAAGACATGTTGAACTCACCAGCTGTAAATACACAGATATAATGGAAAGGCCAATCCACTTTCAGCTAGACCAAGGCAAAGGCATTTTGACAAAATAAAACTTTGATTATGCTGCTTCATTTAACTATCTCAGCAGCCATGTGGGAAATAATCTGAAGAGTTTCTTAAAGGTTTGTACAGTGTTTGGAGCATGTTTCTCTTATTTTTTTCTTGCTGCATGAAAATCTCATTCTCTCACCTCTGAGTCTGATGGAGCTGGAGACTCGGCACAGATACTTGATTAGTAACAGCACAAGGCATTTACTGAATAACCTGAAGCACAGAGAGGTAAGTGACTGCAGACATCTTTATTGCCTGCTGCTAATTGGCATACCTGTTGCACAGACCTGTTGGTACCATGGGATGAAACAGTGAGAGATGAAATCATGGTAATTGCAATCTTCCCACAAGCTATCATTTAATTTATGTTTTAATTAATTTTTATAAGTCTCATAGTTATGAAATACTGAAGCAATTAAAGGCATGAAAGAAGGAACATGCCAGTGTCAGCTGAGGACGATGAGTCAAAGGGGAGAGTTTAGCTCAAGACAAAGTTCATATGAAAAATAATGGTCTGTAGTTCAGCGTTCTGCCTATGTGACATTTCCTAAGTTCTCTGGAAACTTGTATAAAACAAGACATAGTTTTAGATTCTTAGCCATTGTGAGAGTTTCACTGATTTCCTTAGTTTTCAAATGGGAAAACTGAAGCAGAGAGAGTTTAAACATCAGTTTGCTGAGCTCAAGGAGAAAATCTGCTGCAGAGCTGGCAA